AGACCAAAAGGACCACAGATTTCACTATGAAAAATGGGGCTCTCAAGAACTTAACTTGATGAAGAACACTGGAGATAAGAGGAACAAAAATGGAGGCACCGAGATCAGCAAGAATGCAAAATTTCATAGTCAAACATCAGAAATATCACAACATGAACAACCATATGTCACATTGCATGTCATATATTATCACATGTAATATGACAGATGCCCACTTTGATAATGCAGCAAAAATCTCCAACTTGTGAGACAACTTTTCAAAGGTACCTGAAGACACAACTGCATTGAACAGATTGTGACAGCACCGACCATTGGCACACATTAAGGTCAAACCAGAAACTGCTTTTAGCATTTCATCTATTGTTTCAAACTTTTGTAGATATTAGCCCAGTAAGATGCATGTAAGTAGGAAAGGGCAGTATAAAATACTATTAGTTGTTTATTATTTTTTCAATGGAGATCCTGATATCTAAAGCAAGTATTAAATTATTTAGCACCGTGTCCAAAATACTCCCTTACTTCCCCACCGTTCCCTACCACAAAAAAACATTTTTACTACTAAAATCAAAGAACCCACATATTATAGATGAAGTGGGTAAATTCGTCTTCCACTGCCTAAAAAGAAAAAGTCAAACCCAGTAAATCTAGTACTATGCATGTTGTAGAATATAGTATAATGCTAGACGTAGATATAGTCTCACATGTATCCACTGTATTTTCTTTCTTATGTTGTTTGTAACTGCAATTAGCCCTCGGGCATGTATTTGCAATAAACTTTCATTGTCCATTAAAATGCATTGAGCCATCAACCTATAGATGACCCAAATGTGGCCTGGCAACATCAATGGAGGAAGATTAAGAGTCAAGAAGAAATTCTATACTGTACCATAAGGATAAATATCAAGTGAGCTTGTCACAGTACTACAAAAACAATACAGGAGACAAAAAGTTCAACTGTTTTTCTAAAAAGGATGCCCACGCGCATTTAGCAAGAAGTTGCTCAGGTGCAACAAATTGAATGTCTATCAGAATGAAAAGGCCAAAACAATCAGTCAAAGAAGAATCACATGTTTCTCGATCAAAACTTCGGAGTAATCAAGTACTAATATTTAGCTATTCATTTTCATTCAATCAATAAAATAAGTGGGATGCCTTTAACGTCTTCTAATCAATAATATTAATAATAAGAAAATTGGGTTACCCATTGAATGGGTTACATGCAAGTAGAAAACTGTAACAGGCAGAAAAACTTCATTCAACAGGAAAACCCTATCCAGGCACTATGTGCCTAATGTTACCACCAATTTAGGATCAATGAGATGTTTTCTGATGTTTTAGTAAAATGGCGGTAAGGCAAGCAATCAAACTGATATTTATCCACAGAGAAAAGCTCTATTAGAGGAGTATACACAGATAGTTATATACAATGCTCAGGTCTTGCAGAATATGTTGAACAGTGCCTGGAGATTATTTGTCATGATTAACAGTTTTACTTCAAGAGGAAAAGAACATAAATTATGTGAAGGACAATTTCAATTCATATCTTTGGGTTGGGAGAGTAGTCAGGTGAAGACATTTGAAAAATTAGTTGAAGCACACCATATCTGAGGGTGTACAGTCAGAGATACAAACTTCAAGGAAACCTTCAATTAGAAATTTGAAAAATGAGATAATATAAAAGATGGACTGAGGCATAGACATCAAAAGGAGTCAAAGATAAGAAAACATCACATATTCTATCTAATTTTTTTCACAGAAAATTACAAATCATTATGATTCTTTTTTAAAGAAATTAATAGTACCCAACAATAGGTGACATTTTCAGTCCGAGCCTTTTTTGTGTTGAGATTTATACTATGCAGAATGTTGATGAATAAAAGAAGTTTCACTTGACTACATAAAAGTTTTACTAGCTGGAGTTATGCACTAGCCTCAACTCTGTATTCAACACGCAACATTCAGTTGACATTTTAATGCATTGCCTTATATGCCATCACCTTTCAATGCAGATTACCACTTCATTGTGAACAACCTGAGACCTGTGGATAATTTTCCTACCCTACTTAGATCTGTTTTGAACAATTCAGTCACACTCGTGTTCAGACATCTGGCAACAAAATAGTCTGTAAGTGTGATGGGTTCTTTAACATGACTTGTGCAGATTAACAACTTTCAAGCACTGATTGTAAGAAAAATAGGCTGATGCAAATGGACCTATACCATTATTACGTCACAGTTTGTTTACCGCAATGAATGCCGGTCAATCGACGTTTTATTATTGTACAGGGGTGCGTAGCGCGGTGTGTGTTTGTAAAGCGTTAGACTTAATATAAGGCCTTTATACAGTACTACTTTCGTCTAATGTCACAACTAAATCACCCATTACGGCATGTAATGCTGTGTCAAAAAGACTAGACGCAGCAAAAATCAAACATACCTGACTTTGAAAACTTTGAAATGATCTCTGTTCTTTAACTGACTGTTCTAGAATGCTCTTTAGAACAGGTAAACAAACTGTGACGTAATAATCAGGTATAGGTCCATTGAAGATAACAAGTGGAGACTGAGATTCATTGGTCACAGAAAAAGACAGAACAAAGTGTTGTATAAAGTTGACCTGTTCTGTTGAATGATGCACAAATGTCAAAGAGATTTTAAAAAGAGAACTTAAAATAAAATAATGTAAAAGTCATCCAGAAGGACAAGAAGAAATGGATTGAAAATGACATGTTGAGCAAGCTTGTCTGATACTATACGAGGAAATCAGAAACTTCCCTTTTCAGCCATTTTCAAAATGTTTGTCAAGAAGTTTGTTTTTAAGGAATTGAGCTGGTGCAACATTGTGACAGTCTTCAAGACAAAGGGTAGCCTACTTATTGCTTTGAAAGGTTTTTATAAGATATACTCACAGTTAACAGTACAGAATTCTATGGGTAGTTTGGAATATATCAAGAAGACAAAATAATACATTTTAACAGCACTTTTTTTTTTACAAAACAACTTATAATCTAAATTTGTAGCAGAATAAAAAAACTGCCTGAAGTTTACTATCAACCAATGAAAGTGTGAGTGAAAGATAAGAAATTCTGAGTTTATGGTCATCATTGTTTTGATGGAATTCACACATGGAAAAAGTACTGAATTTCATACAACAAATATCTGAGACTACCTATTCCTAGATGTAAACTTTTTGTAATCATACAATTTGAAATTTATGCTGACTCATAACATTACAATTAAGGGAAAGGAAAAGCTAAAGAAAGTTGTCACAGTGCATCTGTGAATTTCCCAAGGAAAAATATGAAAGATTGAAAGAATCAAGTAGGTCTCAAAATTAACTTTGAGACAAAAGTCTTTAGTGCTAGAATAAACATCAAGGACATAAACTTTAGGATGCTGGCCTTGAAGTCTTAGAGTAGATAGTGAATAGGTCAAATATGAAAAGAGGTTGAACTGACAACATCCTAGTTGCAATGAAACCACAACATGCATGTGTGCAGTTGAATATGCAAACTTTTAGGGAAGCATTCAATATGAAATTTGGGCTCATTTGGGCAATATGGCAAACAATCATACATAGGACTTGATCAAGCCCAACAAAACAAAAGGTCCACTCATTGACAATTTTTTCAACAAAAAAAAAAGAAATAGCTGCTATCTATTCAATTTTTCACTATTGTTTTAATAAAGAAACCAAGTTGTTTTGTTTATATGTGTGTTCAAGTGTCTAAAATGTACTAATTAAGAAGTACAGTTATGCAATAAATTCATAATTATATATAAATTTATATATTAAAAAGTTTAAGTGTCAGATTTAGTGCATGCATGCAGAGCCTAATGTATGATGTTCGGTAAACAAATGTTTTGTATCTGAATTTACTCTTCTCTAATTTAGTAGGTTTTATAAGTTGGATCACAGTAAACTATGTTGTTAAGATATCATCGTTTCAGACTAAGGCCATGTTGATTTGATTATATGGATGACATCCGCGCGCGCATGAATTTTCGGCCATTTCCAAAAAAAAAAAAAGGTTTCAACCATACTGTAAATCGTTCAAAACAGTTGCTAAATGAGCAAAAATATACCATAAGTTGCAAGGAAAACATTTAGAAACGATACCAATGTCGTAGAATGCCAAAATCAAAGGAAAAAAGACAAAAATGTAAAGAAATGAATTCGAAGAGTAGATTATTCACCATAACATATTCTGTGCCATTTGTTCAACCTTCATGACCACGTAGATTTCATAGTGAAAGCAACTTTTTTTTTTTGCAAAACTTTGTTTTTATTCGCACGCGCGCATCAGTTTTGGGGTTCCCAGAGGATGTCATCCATATAATCAAATCAACATGGCCTAAGTGTAGCCTATAGTAGTAGCATGCATGTTAGTTGCAATAGAGCTCAGCTTTGGACTGATATTACAAGTCTAAAGTCTCATCTAGTAAGAAGTAGGCCACTGTGAAGTGTCCATGTAAAATTTTGTATCTGCAAAATGAAAATTTGAAGCCAACATATTAAAGATGGATAGCATCTTGCACTTGAGTTGACTTTGAAGATCAGCAGAAAGTCAATGAATTTAGAATTAATAATTTAAAAATAATTAACTTGGATCATGTTTTTTTCAAATTGGTATTGGTGTATGAAGACATGACAATACACCTGCTGCAAAGAAAGAACAGGTGTGTTGTCATGAACATTGATAAGGTAAACAACATTAAGTTGACACCTAGGTTATGTTGTATGACATGGTTGGTAAAATGTACCTGAAATATCTTCTAGATAACTGCCACTTCTGGCCTAGGAAGGAGCATTTGGACTTTTAACCTACTAAATATGACTTTAGTTAAGTTAATACATCTATATTACTTATTACATGTCAAGTCCTTTGCTCCCCTGAAGCCATAATGTCAGTATGCTTTCCTTGACATGCTTTCTATCAGAAATATATTTTAATTTTCAAAAGTGTCAATCTTCTCATGCCATCTACACAATATACATGCAGGGAAGAAACTTCCTACAAAAGTATGATCATAAATGCCACGTGACTGTTACATGGCATGATATTGTATACTTGCAGAATGGCATCTTCAGTAGCTAATAGTATAGACTGAAGTGGGGGTGTGGTCCAAACATACTTCCTTGTGGTACACCAGTTGTGGAAGTTGTTGATGGGTGATGCTATCAATCCACACCTTGTACAGAAGCTGTATATAGTGAGACATTTCAAAAAGTCAGATAAAAAATTTGAGTTCATCACAGCTAAAACTGCATAATATAAAAACCTCCTATATTGTAGGAGACACTGTCAACAAGTGTGTTGTCATGTAGCGTAGGGTTTAGCCATGTGATGCATGAATGGACCTATTATTACGTCTCAGTTTGTTTACCTGTTCTAAAGAACATTCTAGAATGGTCAGTTAAAGAATATAGATCATTTCAAAGTTTTCAAAGTGAGGTATGTCTGATTTTTGCTGCGTCTAGTTGTGTTGACACAGCATTTCATGCCGCATGGGTGATTTAGTTGTGACATTAGATGAAAGTAGTACTGTATTAAAAGCCTTATAATAGGCTAACGCTACACAAACACACACCGCGCTACGCACCCCTGTACAATATAAACGTTGATTGACCGGCATTCATTGCAGTAAACAAACTGTGACGTAATAATGGTATAGGTCCATTGGCCCCAGGTTACATTGCTGTTACACAGCACGAGACAATTAGAAAATGTTTTATTTTAGATGTGTTTGTGTAATGTTGTGTGTCTGTGCTATGGGCCATTGCAATAAATAAATAAATAAATGCATTAAGTTCCAACAATTTTCAGCTCGCAAGAAATATTATCATACCATTGACTTGTACAGGGTGGCTCATGGCTCTAGTCTCAGGAACAGACAGATCAGCTTAGTTCAGTCATTAGACCCTGACTTTCCTGTTGCATAGAAAACAGACTATCAGGTTGCGTTTTGAGGTCCATGAAACTATTTTAATTGAGTCTACCAATTACAGATATGGTAATGTGACAATGTGAATGAGAGCAAACATTATCATTAACATTAATGAATCAATAAATTGCTGTTCAGGACATATAAAATATAAGGGTAACAAAATGGACACAGGGAGGATAGAGTAGACAAAAGATATACCTTGTCAACCGCCTTGGGGTTTGACTATGTAGTATGTAAAAAAAAATTATGATGCTGGTGGACAATTTCTCTTGGCTGTCTGATCATAACAAGGAAGGACCTTCCAACATGGTGCCTATATCAACAGAGAAAAAGAAAATATCAAAATCAAGAAATCAAACATTTCAGACTTCTGGGAAGTATTTTGGGTTTCCGTTACCCTTACACAGACCTCCAGAATGTGTTTTCGGTTTTGTAAATGTATTGGAACAGTGGAAAGGGTACTAAATGATGTAATTTATTTGGGTATCACGCCACCTCCTGAATTCCTCCACATACCACCCACTTGCTCCCATCTGTCACATGCTGTGTCACCTTCAGGCTTGTCCCCCCCTACCAATCCACTGTCAAAATCACCTCCCACCCTCTACAAAACCGTCACTACTTGGACAAGTAGAGTCTGACACACAAGCCCCAAACCCACCCAAAACAATATTTATTCCACACCTAGAAATAATGAATCAGGGACTCCCTGTTGTCCCTGTGAATATCAAACTATAAAATGTTGCTAACAAAATGTTGGCATTGAGTTTATATAGAGGCTTACTTGCTTTCTGACATAGCTTAAACCTACTACCTGGAGTACTTACCTTTTTTCAGGATCCGATGTAAATTTCAAACCAGTTTGTCGTCGTTTTGAAGAGAATACTACTCGTGGAGAGGTTACTGAAAGGAACAGAGTCCGTTTGAATCCGCTGGCTTTGGATGGTCCAGCTACGTCAGTTGGATAGTAAGAGCACTGCCTGGAGTGCAAATTCAATATTGGCCCATGGGAGGAGAATCAGACTATTTCGCTCCCTTGGAAAGAGCCTGATCAACCAAAACTTGTCCCAGCGCCAAGACCACGTTTGAATATCAAGAAGGGACATAGGAGAAATAACGGCCCGTTCTTAGAACATTCTTCAAAAACAGAATTTTGACGTTCTTCGCAACACATGTTCGAACGTTTACAGAACGTCGCTATGACAACTGAAACACCCCCCTCCCCCATATACGGGAGCGTAAACAAAGAAATGCATTGTAATTTTGACTAGTTCTCACTTCAATCTATTGCTATACAACTTTTCTGTCCAGAGTTAAAATTGGTCAGGTAAAATACAGTAGTTACTGGTAACTCGGGCTCTGTTTATCACCTACTTTTTTGGTGTCGGCACAAGGAAGTCAGAACTAGAAGAGGGCAGCAGAACACTGGCATATTACATTGTTTGGCCTCATTTCACACTCAAAACTACAGGGGTTTCTGAGCATTTTTCTGGTCAAGGTGACGATAATTAAATCGGTAGCAAACTGGAAACACATAAAGCCGCAAATTAAAAGCATTGGTAAGCTGTTAAATCCTTTAGGACGGTTGTGGATTGGTAAAATAGCCTGGTTAATTTACATGAAGGCGATTCAGCACCAAGGACAAGGAAAATGGCTGCCGGCTACAGTTAATTCGCCACAGTACCATACTAAGGCCATGTTGATTTGATTATATGGATGACATCCACCCGCGCATGAATTTTCGGCCGTTTCCAAAAAAAAAAAGTTTTCAACCATACTGTAAATCGTATACAAAACAGTTGCAAAATGAGCAAAAATATACCATAAGTTACAAAAAAAACTAGAAAGGCCAATATTTGCTTTGGAGCAAATACAGCGATGGGTTCACCACATTTTACGACATGGCAGGGAAAGAATGAGAAACACAAGGGAAAACAATGATTTACATTGATATAACTATAATATGAAGTAACATACAACTAAAACAACAGTTGGATAGCTATTCCCTACTTTATTGGTTAGGATTTTTAATTGCATAATGCAAACTGTTGATTTTCAAAATAAAAAAAAACGTTCATGCCCCGCATTCCAATGCTGGAGCAGAAAAGCTTGAAATACCTACCAAAACACTTGAATAAAGACATACTGTCAGTATGGAAATGCTCTGTGCAGGTGTTATTAACAATCACATAAACTATGAAGCCATACATTGAATAAGCTATACATATAATATGATTATCATAACCTTTATTTTTAAAATCATGCCAGTGAGCTAATTGCATGTACAGAGTGAAAGAAAGTAAAGTAAAGCAGTAGAATTTCTGTACTAGCTATGATAGTACTTCATATGATTCGTCCTCATCGTCATCATTCAATGTGGTCTATCTCTTGCTACTAGTGACTGGTAATACCTCTGTAGATTCTTCACACTGGCAGAGTACCGTACTCCTTCTCTCTTGTCAGCTCAATACTTTTGTGACAACATCAAAGTGATTTTAGTTTGTATGTTGGAAAAATACAAAAGACTAACATTCTAAGTTATTGACATTCTTGAGTAAGAACAATCAGTTTTTGTAATGTTAAAAGCAAAACAACGAAATAAAAAAAATGTTGAAATTGTTAAAATGCAGAATTGTTAAAATCGTTAAAACTGATAAAATTGTTAAAAATTATAAAATTGTTAAAAATAGTTAAATTGCTAAAAATATTTATGTCCGATGCACTGGGGTTCGAACTTGCAATGCCTGGGATTGCCGCCTTGCGCGTTTCCAACCGAGCTAACTCGGTGCGATACACATCACTCACTGCATTGTATGTCATAAAAAGTAAACAGCATGGCGGTATCGATCGCCTAAAGCCACCAAGACTTTCAACTATTAACTACGGGGTTTCCTTCTTTATCAGGTTTGCTTTTGAACCACCTTGATGTTACTTAACTATCAACCCGGCTAGCAGAAGCCGCCGGCTCCTTTGATATTACAGCCGCTCCCTGTCCAATCTTGTTTACACGCCGGGCGCAGGTCATTGACCTCCAACTTGCGTTGTTCCAACAGAGAAGAGCAAAATGTCTGGCTCCCGCAGAACGTACCGCACTCTCCCGCTGGACGTACCGCACTCTCCCGCAGAACGTATCGCACTCTCCCGGAGGACGTCCCGCACTCTCCCGAGGGAAGTCCCGCACAGCGTCCTGCACTCTCCCGCAGAACGTCCCTCGAAAATTGATGCGTATTTCGTGGCCTGTGCTGTACCTACCAAAACACTTGAGTTCCTACTGTCAAAATGGAATGGCTTTGAACAGGTGTTAATTGAGTTAATCCAATCAAATCCAACAGCCAATCAGCAAGAAGAAAAGATTAGGCTGCGTCAGGTTCATGCTTGCATGCCCATATATGGGCATGCCGCCGAATTTCTTTCTTATTACGTCACGCGCGTACGCCCCCGCACAGTACTTTCCTATGGGGACCGCTAAAAAAGCAATAAAACGATTGTAAAAGCTTGTATCACAAAAATTTAAAAAACGCCTAGGGGTATTTGCCCACTGTACCTCCATACCAAATTTCAGGACCTTAGGCCCTAAAATGAAGAAGCTGAATCCATTTAAAGAAATGGCA